TAAAGTTTTTCCTTTTTTTGTTTTTTTTTGTTTTTTTTTTGGGGGGGGGGAGTGGAGGGCACATCCAGCAGTGCTCCGGGCTTACTCCTGGCCCTGTGCTCAGAGATCATTGCTGGTCAACTTGGGGGGCCATCTGGGAAGGTAGGGATCAATCCTGGGTTGGCCACATGCAAGGTCAATGCCCTACCAGCTGTTTTATTGCCTCAGCCCCCTTGTTTTTGTTTTTAGGTCACATCTAGCTGTGCTTAGGGCTTACATTTGGTTTTGTGCTTAGGGATCACTCCTAGAGATGCTCAGGGGACCATAAGGATTGCCAGGGATCAACCCCAGGCTGGTCAACTGCAAGGCAGGCATCCAACCCACTATAATGTCTTTCCATACTATCGTAACTAAATATTATTTGTACAGCAGCTAGAATGGGCCAGAGCGGTAGCATAGCGGGTAGGGCATTTGCCTTGCATGTGGCTGACCCAGGTTTGATTCCTCCGCCCCTCGGAGAGTCCAGCAAGCTACCAAGGGTATTCCGCCTGCAGGGCAAAGCCTGGCAAGCTCCCATTTATTCCATTTGCCAAACAAAGTAACAAGTCTCACAATGGAGACGTGCTCGCTTGAGAAAATCGATGAACAATGGGAGGACAGTGCTACAGTGCTACAGCTGCTAGAATATTAATCACATTATCATCTTCTCAAAAGTTCCCAGTTGGTCCTAAGTTTTCAAAGGCTCAGGTGCTAACAATGGACTGGAAGGATTTGTGTAGTCTCATCTTTTATGTTCTTCAAGTTAAATCTCAGGCTGAGTACAGTGCAAAAGACTGGGTCGGAACAATAATAGAGTGAGTATGGCACTTGCGGCCAACCCAGATTTCATCCCTGGTACCACACATGATCTCCCAAGCACTGGCAGGAGTGATCCCTGGAAGCAGAGCCAGGAGTAAGCCCCAAAGCCCCAACCACAGCCTGATGTGGCCCAAACACCATAAAATAAAATAAAATAAAATATAAAGAGAAAGAGAGACTGGAGAATATGCCTAACAGGCATAAGGCCCTGGGTTTGATTCCTGGCACCATGTGACTTCCTGGGCCCCACTTGGTTTAGCCCTCGTGGCCTAAGCATCACTAAGGAGGCCCCAAATCCTGAAACCAAAAAACTAAGACATCTCATACCCTGACCATCCCAATTAAAATCAGAGCAGTCTTCCTCCTTTACTTATACTAAAATCTTTACCTAGTTTTATTATCTCTCATAACACTCATCACTTTCTAACAAGCCGTATGATTGGCTTGCTTATTCTACTGATTAGCTTATTTAAGAAGGCAAGGAATTGTGCATGTTTCAGTTACTGAGATCTCCTGATCCTCCAGTACAGGACTTGGCATATAGTAGGCACTCATTAATATTTATGGCATGAATAAGTAAATTAGTGGAGGTTACAAGTGAACAATTTACAGACCTAAGTGGGAATGCAAATGAGAGAGTGATGGTCATTTAAGATGTTAGTATAATAGCATGGTGCAGGAAAAAGTGGAGAAGGGAGGCAATAGGCTACACAGGATTCAGCCCTGACTGCCACCATCTATACTCAGCTAATTTTTGCTCTTTTTGCTTTCCCCTTGTTTCCTGCATTGTAACCCGACTAACTTATTGGTGGTTTTCTAAATAAAGGTGCTTTGTGGTCTCTTCCAGACCTGGAATGCACTGCCCTGAGTGTGTCCTTCACTCTCCCCAGGCTTTCCTCTTCTTCCTTCCTTAGGACTCTCCTTGAAGATCTTTGCTTTGGAGGGGCCTTGCTTGACCCCTACCCCCACCTAGATTTTATCCCACTCTTATGCTTACTCACATAGCATCCATGTTATCTAAGCCTGTCAAAATATGTTGGGGATGCAGAGTCCAAGCCTTAATGTTCCTGAGCCCTTGATGGCTGGCAGCAGGCAGAAGGCAGTGATTTTAACAAGCACCACCAGAGAATTGCTTGCTGGGGGCTTTCAGCATTGAGCAAAAGCATTTGGTTGCCAGAAAAATCATATTGTGTGTCCTCTTGGCCATAGAGATATGTTATCAACTAGTTTCCTTGACATAGTTCCCCACATTATTGTGAAATAATGTTAATGTTTAAAAGTGCACATTCTGTTCAGGGGAGAGTATCCTTTCAAGTTTGTGTTTGTTTGTCGCTGTTGTAGGTTTTGCACATATGTCCCTCTGCCTGGGATGTTTAGGATTTGGTGTTCCCTATCATCTAGCTAAGCTCAGGGGGGTGTGTTTTGAAGGGCTCATGAAATGGGGGAGAATTGGAGCTGGGAAAACAATTTTGCTGTTTAGGAAAGGTTCCCACCAAAGGACAGTAGATCTGGCTTAGGGATGATCAGTGAGGATGTCTCTGTGTAGGGATTTCTAGAATCTGTGACCTACTTCAGAAGATTTAGGTTTCCTTGTCATAGATTTAGTTTTTGCTGACTGAGGAAGTGGAGAAAGAGAGTCAAAATCTAGATTAGAAAGTGACAGGAGAGAAACTCAGAGTATCCAGTCTAAGTGACAGGCGATGAGCCATGACCAAGATATAAAAACATTAGCCATCCATGACTCCTCTGACATTCATTAACACACTGATTTCGGGTTTGGCAACATAAGGGCTCAAGTTACTGGTATTGGCTGTGAAAAAAAATGTACTTGAAAGGTTGGAAAATTTGAGGATCCTCAGATTTTATTTTGAAAGTTTCAGCTGGGTTCGGAAACAAGCTTTCTTTTCTTTCCCTTTTTTTTTTCTTTTCTTTTTTTTTAAAAACACAACCAACCTTATTTATTTAAACCTTAACTAGGTTTAAAATTGGAGCACTCCTCCTTGTGGACTTATGCTAACATTTTTACCTGGTTTTATTATTTCTCATAACACTCATCACATTCTAATAAGCCACATAATTGGCTTGTTTATGCCACTGGTTAACTTATTTATGCATAAATAAATGTACAATATACATTATCCTACACTATGTCTTCCTGAGATTACAGCAATCATGCCGTGTCCTTTAGAAATGTCCATGTACAAGTCCTGGTGTGGGCCTCCAGAAGTTAATACTGATTGGGGGGATGCTGAGATGGAGTAGACCCCACAAAATACTTTAAACACCTGGAAAGGTTATATAGGGCACCAGGCAAAAAAAGTTTTCAAACAGAAAGAGAATGCATATACAGCTTTAACTAGAGTTTGCTGAAGGCATTTCTTCTGAATCACAAAGATTGGGAAAGTGATTTGCAAGATAATCACTGCAAACCCTGAAGCTCTGAATTGCCTCAATTGATTCAAAACTAGAAAAAAAAGAGAGGTGTGTGTGTGTGTGTGTGTGTGTGTGTGTGTGTGTGTGGTGGGGGAGGGGGGAAGTGGAGGAGTGTATGTAGTATCCTAAATTCCCACATTCCCTGGGTAGGAACTTCCTTCCTGCAAGCCGTCTTCCCCTCCCTAGCCTCTAGCTTGCCTTGGGAGAGCCTGCCCAGCCCATCGCTAACCACAGGATTTAAGGACTGATCTCAAATACTTAGGCTAGAGGGCTAGGAAAACACCATCTCTATTTGCCTCACAGGGTTTTACCAGTGTGAAAAGATGCCTTCAAGGTATTTAGGAGCTCCCATTACTTTCCAGTAATTGGTGGGAAAAAGAATTGAAGATAGTAATTATCTGGAGGCGTGAGTTTATTTAAATGACCTGTTTTTACTTTTCTTAGTCTTGGAGAAGCAAAATACCTCTCATAGCACTAAATTTATTAAAGTCTCTCTTTTTTTAAAAAAAAATGGGAGTAAAAAAAATCACAAATTAAAGTAAACTTTTTCAGGAGTGGAATCTACTTAATATAAAGATTGGTGAAAAGTCGTTTTTCAAACAGTAAAAAAGTACTGTAAGAAAAGCTGTTATTGTCCAAAATGAAATGTCACATGGCACTAGTTATCATAAGAAATGGTATGATGGAGTGATTCATTACATCACTCATTGCATTTATTTCTACTGCACAGGAACACCGGCCACATTTCGTTTCCTGATTGATTTAAGAACCCATCTCTGGAAAGGTTAGTGCCACAGCGTGTAATGTATAGCTTAAAATGCATGTTAACCCATGTACTGAAATCAAAATTCAGCACATTTAGATGTTCAGGAATAACAAAACCCGAAAGTTTGAACGCATGCCATGTTAAAGTTGATGGCTTTAGAGTTTTTTTTTAAAAGCTTGATTTATAGGAACCAGAAAAGGAAAGCTTATTTCTCTCATTTTCAAAAGATTAAGGTGATCCTCTGTATTTTCCCACGAAGTAGTCTACTTCAGCAAAACATTACACCGTGTACTGTTTTGGCCTCTTGGGAAACATGACATGTTCAACTTTGCTAGAAAGAGATAATGATCGCTTTTCGCGACACATCTCACTAGAAGTTCATAGGGATATTGGTCTAGAGAGAAAATGGCGGCAGGGGGTGGGGTGGGGATGGGGGTGCGGGTACTGGTGGCGGTGGGTGTGCGAGAGGAGCAATCCCTTAGTTTAGGATGAGAAATAGGCAATGCACGACTTCATTTAAGGTTAGAGTCCCACCGGTCTCCAATTGTGAATTTCTATCGTGTGCACTTTTCCCACAAAGAGGTTTCGCAGTACATTTACTAAATAGTCCTCTAGTGTAGTTTTATATTCTTCCACCAAAAAAGCAGTGGCTAGAATTGTATTGTCGATTTGTCAAAAACGAGCCCCCCCGCCCCCCAAATCACTGCCGCGGGAGTGTTCGTCCTTGCGCTCTTATTTGACGCAAAGAGAAAGCGAAGCGGTTTAGATCGGGCATTTCTCCGTGTGGTGCAGACATGCCGTTTTCTATGAATTTCTCCCCACCCTCTGGGAGATTGGTTTCTGAAACGTAACCGTTGTGCAATATACCCAGGGCTATGACGCAATAATCCCCTGCAAGTTACCTTGCACGAATGATGTCATTTGGCGCACATTTAGACACTTTTATACTACAGGTAGCTAGAGCAAAAAAGCTCCCTCTCCACGTCGTCCTGGTTTCCCGCCCCCAACGTGGATGGAAAGAAAAAAGAGAGAGGTATTTTTTCCCCTGGCTTCCTAACAATTTGTAGAGAATGGGCGCGCCGCAGGGGCTCGAGCCCACCGTTCGCGCAGTTAGAGACCTGCAAGGGGGTGGGGGTGCCCAGCGCGGTTCAGCGTTGAGCCCCGACGGCGACGCCGCACAGGAAGCCGCGGCGGCCCGGGCCCCGCGGCCCCCCGCGCCAGGTTGTCTCGGTCCCTTGGCGGGGCCCGCTGGCGCGGCCAGACAGAATGTGGGGGCCCCCGCGGGCGTGGGGCGGCCCTGCCCCCACCCCGCTCCCACACCCGCTCCCGCTCCCCCGGCGCCGGAAGTGACGCGGCTGGCTGAAAGATGGCGGCACTGGCGCTCAACCAGGGGGAAGGTAAACACCCTCTGGGCCGCCGGCCTCGGGCCGGCCCCCTGGAGGCGCCGGCGGGGGCCGCGGGGGCCCGTTGTGGGCCCGCGGCCCGGCTGCCGGCCTCCCGGCCGTCGACACTCCCCCTCCCCGCCACCCCGCTGCCCGCGTGGCCCGTTTCCGCGGCGCGACGGCGGCGCACGGAGCCCCCTACTGGCCGGCCCCTCCTCCTGGGCGGGCCCCGGGCGGCTCCCGCGGCCCACAGGGGGCGCGCGGCCCGGAGCGGCCCCTGGCTCGTGGCCCCGCAGGCTCCGCCCCCTCGCCCGCCCCTTTCCCGCCTTCCTCCACCCCCGGCGTGGGTGATCCCGAGGCTCGGCGCGCTTGGGGCAGAAGCCCGGAGACGCCGTCGTCGACGCCGCCGCTGCCGCCGCCAGCGCCGGCGCTTTGGCCGCGGCCCGCGCCCCCCTTAGCCCGCTCCCCCGCGCGCGCGTCGTCGTCGTCGGAGTAGGTATCCGGGCGCGGAGCTGCCGCGGGCCGCCGCGAAGCTCCCGGCGTGTGCCAGGCCGGCCCCGGCCCCGACGCCGCGCCGCAATCGCCCGACCCGTGTCGGCTCGCCACTCAGCGCTGTCTTCTCCCTCCCCCTTCCCACCCCCCCTCCAGGACCGACTGTGAGGGGTCCGCCGGCTCCGACGCTCGCCCCTCGCCGCAGCTGCCCGGCGCGGCCCGGGAGCGGCCGCCAGTAGCTTTCACGTTCGAGGAAGCCCTGCCGAGTGCCGTTCCGGCGCCCGATCGCCCATCGCCCGGCCCGGCGGCCCGCCTGTCCCTCATGCAGACTGCCGTCCACTAGAGCTGGACAGACCCCCGAGGTATGTAGCCCGCCCCTGGTCCTCCGGCCTTGCGGCCACCCGGGAGCCGGCCGCGGCCCCGGCTCGGCCACGGAGTCGCCAGCCTTTTCTGCCCCGGACCCTGACTTGCCACCCTCGCTTGACGCCGGGACCTAATTTTGCGCGGAGTGCACTTAAATTGTTGGAAAATGAATTTTTTTTTTTGCCGGGGCGGGGGGCGGCGGGAGGAAGAAGCATAATTCAGCCATTTTTTGCAGCGCTTAGCTGCAGGTACCATGATTATTCCCCCCCCCCCCCCGCACCCCAAGAACCCGTCCCTTCCTTTCCCCAAATGCTGTTTATGCCCCGAAATCGCCGCTGCGAAATGCGGGGAAATCAAAAAACGTGGAAGCGGAAGATCGGTGCCCGGGCGGGTGGGTACCCGAGAAAATCCCTCGTTGAGCTTGGGGCTGGCGGATCGCGGAGATCGGGTCGGCAATAGCCACATCCCCGGGTAGTGAGTGAGGACTACATGAGGTCATACGTGAAAATCATCTCGAGCGGTAAAGTGGTGGGAAATCGCAAGGCGATCCTTTTGCAATTCTCTCCACCGGAGCGGTTAACGCTGTCGTGGCTAACTGTTGCTGCCTCTTTGATTCCTATATTTTAAGTCTACGAAATAAGTGTGGAATAGCGAAGCCAGAGGCTCGAGATCAGCTAGAGAGAGAATGGGCACGGTACTTGGCCTTCTTCCTCCGAACTGCTAACTGCTTATTTAAATAACGGTATTCTTTAATTCAAATTTAACGTTACTGGACTGCTTTGCTTTTCAGTTTTTTTTTAGGTCGCCCAAGGCTCCTTCCCCACACCCACCGCAAACTCAGAATATTTATTTAACACCTTACATTTGAGCTTGTATTTCCTACTTTCCAAATATTCTCCGAATTGATGTTTTATTGAGTTAATCTGCTGAATTGATCATTTAGAAAATGCCTTGAAGACCAGTTCCCTCCTTTTAATGCCTCCCCTCCACATCTAGGGAACAGGATGCTTTAATCTGTACAGACTAATTTGAAAATGTTTTTTGAACAGCTGAGACATGCATTCATATTTCTGTAATTCTTAGTAGAGACATGAGTAGGAAATTTCAACTTTTTCATAATGCAGTGATCTTTACGTGGTTTAATTCTCATTTTAAATTATTACAACACATTAGGTGCTTAGACTAGGTTTCTAGTCTTGAAGGATGCCAACTGGCTTCTTTAATGCTGATTAACTTGGGGAAATAATGAGAAATAGTAAATAATGGGACTGCAAATATTTGTTAAGGTTTAAAAATTGAACTCTGTGAGAATTTTTGATTCATACATTCAGCAGATCAGCATGGAACCATTCTTCCCACAGGAGTTACTCCTGGTGGTGCTCAGGGGACCATGTGGGATGCTGGGAATCAAACCCTGGTCGGCCGCGTGCAAGGCAAACACCCTACCTGCTATGCTATCTCCAGCCCGGGAAAGACAAGAATTTAAAAATATTTTTAACTTAATAGTTTTCTGAATTTTTCCTGATATAGGTTATTAAATATATAATCTGGTACCAGTTGTCCTTCATACTCTTTCCTATTTTGTAAAAAAGGCAGATAAGACAGGCAGGATTAAATTAGCAAAAGTCGGAGCCTGGTCTGAGAGCTTTTCATTTTTATTTATTTATTTTTGGCTTTTTGGGTCACACTGGGAAATGGTCAGGGGTTATTCCTGGCTCTATAGTCAGGAATCATCCTGGCAATGCTCAGGGGACCATATGGGATGCCAAGGATTGAACCCGGGTTGACTGCTACAAGGCAAAAGGCCTCCCTGCTGTCCTACTGCTCTGGCCTATGTGAGGTTTTAGGCATTGAATTTAATCAAGAAAAAAAATTGGCTAATTGTTTTACTGGGAATTTCAGGATTTCACATCTCTACCTTGATTTGGGTTTTCTGGGGTTAAAATATTGGAACGGAGCTGGCATGGGTACTAGGGATGATTTTAAAAGGGTCATCTGGTATAAGTCTAGAATTGGACAATATCGAGGGGAACATGAATACTCATGCCAATAATTTTAATGGTCATTTTTCTCTTAGAAGTTGTTAAATAGCAATTTTTAAAGGAGAAAACTTGATTGTGTTAGTCCCTCCCTCATTTGAACAGTGGGGCATGTGTTGTAATTTGTGCGGGTTTGCATAGGGTCCCCAGAATGCCTGTAGCTGGTGTTCTGCAAAGGCTTTCCTTTGGGTGCTGGGACGGCTTCGGTCCCTATGTGAGCATGGATTGTTCAAATTTGGTACACTAGCGGGTGGTGGGTTTGGGTTGACAAGAAATGAAAGGTAGCGGAGCCAAGTGTGAAAGGTGGCGGTTTCACTGGACAAGCTCTGGCGTCTAGTGGTCCCCTGCCCACGGTTTAGTAAGAGTAGTGTCCTTGACCATCTTATCTCGCCTCTGAGTTTTCATCACTTTAACCTCAGACGGATACATAACATGGAAGGCTGTGGGGATATAATTAAATAAGTCAATGAACACTTAAGTGCGTATCAAACAGTTCTAGGTTCTGGGGATACCACAGTCAATGAAAGGAAACCCCCCTTTAAATATGGTAAGGAAAATAAGCTAGCCCATTTAATAATGCCACTGTAGGATACTAAACAGAAAAAGAAAAGTAGGGATTATCAGGTTCTTGGCACCCGGTGGGGCTTCTTGCATCTTATCCGTTTTATTTTTATTACTATCATTTTTTTTTCAGGGGGCGCTGGCTGGAGTCTAGCAAGTGCCTCGTGTTGGAGAAGCGTGTTCTCAGACTCTGAGCCACAGCTCCGACTGGTGGGGCCTGGTTTGGTTTTTGGTTTGGTTACTGTCATTTGAGGAGTGGCGGAGATGGAGGCACAGCAGTCGGGATTGAAGGTGACCTTTATGTAGACTTGAGCACTCTGCTGCATCCAAACCCGCCATTTTGTATCAGTTCGGCGGGGCGAGTAGCAAAAGGCCCCCCATTTCGCAGCGCACTTCCGGAATGCGCCTTTTCTTTGAAGGCTTTGTGTGGGCGGCCCTGCGCATGCGCACTGGTGTACTTCCTGGCGCCCATTTTATCGAAGAGAGGTGCGAGTCAGGGAAGGGACGGGTAGCCGTCTCGGAGATGAGTGTGGAATAAAGACCTGAAGGCAGCCATTTATATTTTCAGTACAGGAAACTTCTCGCTTTGGTAGCGGCCTTGAGGTGGGTGTGTGGCTTGTTTCGGGGGTGGTGTATTGATTTGGGGGCTCTTGAAAAGGGGAGAGTGACAGCGATAACACCATTTCAGGAATGTTGAAAAGACGCAGGTAGTTGGTTTTTGCTGTGGGTGTATGTTGCTGCTAGTTTAAAAGCAGAACGCTTTTTCAAAATTCGAAATTTTATGTGGACTAAGAAAAATCACACAAGGTAGATCCCTAGATATACCATTATCTTTTTAGGAGGGGCATGAGCACACCCAGCAGTGCTTGGATCATTTCTGGGGAACTCGGGGATCATATGTGGGGTTGCAAATCAGACCCAGGTCAGCTGCGTGCAAGGCAGGCACCAAAACTCCTGTACTGTTTCTTGCCCCAGCCCTTATTATTACTTTGGCTTTTTGATTACACCGGGCAATGCTCAGTGTTTACTCCTGGTTCTGTGCTCAGGAATCAACTCCTGGCACTGTTCGGGCAACCCATTCCGGGTATGGATCCGAGGTCGGTTGTGTGCAAGTCAAAAGGCCCTTCCCGCTGTACTACCAAATGTGGCCCTATGCAAAGTGTTTTACAGATTGGATTTAATCTTCTCTTGGAGATAAACTTTTGGCTAATCAATCCTCTACTAAGAATTTCAGGGTTTAACCTTTCTACCTTGATTTGGGTTATCCGGGGCTAAAATCTTGGAACAGGGCTGACTTGGCGTTCATGGATGATCTAAGAGGCTCATCTGGTGTAAGACTGGAATTGGGCATCTAGGGGAATATGAATAGTCATGCCAATAATTTTAATGGTCATTTAAAAAAAGTTAAGGTAAAAAACTTGTTTTAGTGCCCCACGTTTTTGAATAGTGGGGCTTGCATTTTAATTTTGAGTTGGGTCCCAGGAATGCTGGTAGCTGTTTTTTTGCAAAGCCTTTCCTCTGTGTTCTGGGAGGGCTTCAGTCTGTCGGAGTGTGGCTTGCTCAAATTAGGTATGCTGGCGGGCGGTGGGTTCGAGTTAAAGAGAAATTATAGGCAGCCTGCCAAGTGTGGGAGGTGGCTCATTCACTGGAACAGGCTCTGGGGTCTAGCGGTCCCCAACCCTCAGCTTGGTAACAGTACTAGTTGACCATCATATCTCATCTCCGAGTTTTGAGTTTTCATCACTTTAATAACAGATGGCTACAGGACACTGATAGCTCTGGGGATACAATTGAATAATTCAGGAAACACTTAAGTGCATATTAGGTATCAAACAAAACTAGGTTCTGGGGATTCCACAGTCAATGAAAGTAACTTCCCCCACTTTAAATATGCTAAGGAAAATAAGTTACCACTATTTAATAATGCCACTGTAGGATACTATACAGAAAATGTAGAGATTATCAGGTTCTTGGCACCCGGTGGGACTTTTTGCATCTTACCCGTTTGATTTTTATTACCGTCATTTTTTTCGGGGGTGCTGGCCCGGAGTCCAGCGAGTGCCTCGTGTTGGAGAAGCATGTTCTCAGACTCTGAGCAACAGCTCCGATTGCCGGGCCTGGTTTGGTTTTTGGTTTGGTTGCCGTCATTTGAGGAGTGGCGGAGATGGGGACACAGCAGTCAGGATTGAAAGTGGCCTGTATGTAGACTTGGGCACTCCACTGCATCCGAGCCCACCATTTTGTATCAGTTTGGCGAGGAGATGTAGCAAAAGGGCCGCCATTTTGCAGGCGCACTTCTGGAATGCGCCTTTTCTTTGCGTTGCGTGGGCAGCTCCGCGCTTGCGCACTGGCTTACTTCCTGGCGCCCATTTTATCGAAGAGAGGTGCGAGACGTGGAG